CAAAGTTGATGAGAACCCGTCAAGTGGGTGACAAAGTTGATGAGAACCCGTCAAGTGGGTGACAAAGTTGATGAGAACCCGTCAAGTGGGTGACAAAGTTGATGAGAACCCGTCCAGTGGGTGACAAAGTTGATGAGAACCCGTCAAGTGGGTGACAAAGTTGATGAGAACCCGTCAAGTGGGTGACAAAGTTGATGAGAACCCGTCAAGTGGGTGGCAAAGTTGATGAGAACCCGTCAAGTGGGTGACAAAGTTGATGAGAACCCGTCAAGTGGGTGACAAAGTTGATGAGAACCCGTCAAGTGGGTGACAAAGTTGATGAGAACCCGTCAAGTGGGTGACAAAGTTGATGAGAACCCGTCAAGTGTGTGACAAAGTTGAGAACCCGTCAAGTGGGTGACAAAGTTGATGAGAACCCGTCAAGTGTGTGACAAAGTTGATGAGAACCCGTCAAGTGGGTGACAAAGTTGATGAGAACCCGTCCAGTGGGTGACAAAGTTGATGAGAACCCGTCAAGTGGGTGACAAAGTTGATGAGAACCCGTCCAGTGGGTGACAAAGTTGATGAGAACCCGTCCAATGGGTGACAAAGTTGATGAGAACCCGTCAAGTGGGTGACAAAGTTGATGAGAACCCGTCCAGTGGGTGACAAAGTTGATGAGAACCCGTCCAATGGGTGACAAAGTTGATGAGAACCCGTCAAGTGGGTGACAAAGTTGATGAGAACCCGCCCAGTGGGTGACAAAGTTGATGAGAACCCGTCCATGGGTGACAAAGTTGATGAGAACCCGTCAAGTGGGTGACAAAGTTGATGAGAACCCGTCAAGTGGGTGACAAAGTTGATGAGAACCCGTCAAGTGGGTGACAAAGTTGATGAGAACCCGTCAAGTGGGTGACAAAGTTGATGAGAACCCGTCAAGTGGGTGACAAAGTTGATGAGAACCCGTCAAGTGGGTGACAAAGTTGATGAGAACCCGTCAAGTGGGTGACAAAGTTGATGAGAACCCGTCAAGTGGGTGACAAAGTTGATGAGAACCCGTCAAGTGGGTGACAAAGTTGATGAGAACCCGTCAAGTGGGTGACAAAGTTGATGAGAACCCGTCAAGTGGATGACAAAGCTGATGAGAACCCGTCAAGTGGGTGACAAAGCTGATGAGAACCCGTCAAGTGGGTGACAAAGCTGATGAGAACCCGTCAAGTGGGTGACAAAGTTGACGAGAACCCGTCAAGTGGGTGACAAAGTTGATGAGAACCCGTCAAGTGGGTGACAAAGTTGATGAGAACCCGTCCAGTGGGTGACAAAGTTGATGAGAACCCGTCCAGTGGGTGACAAAGTTGATGAGAACCCGTCAAGTGGATGACAAAGTTGATGAGAACCCGTCAAGTGGGTGACAAAGTTGATGAGAACCCGTCAAGTGGGTGACAAAGTTGATGAGAACCCGTCAAGTGGGTGACAAAGTTGATGAGAACCCGTCCAGTGGGTGACAAAGTTGATGAGAACCCGTCAAGTGTGTGACAAAGTTGATGAGAACCCGTCCAGTGTGTGACAAAGTTGATGAGAACCCGTCCAGTGGGTGACAAAGCTGATGAGAACCCGTCAAGTGGGTGACAAAGCTGATGAGAACCCGTCAAGTGTGTGAGAAAGCTGATGAGAACCCGTCAAGTGGGTGACAAAGCTGATGAGAACCCGTCAAGTGGGTGACAAAGTTGATGAGAACCCGTCAAGTGGGTGACAAAGCTGATGAGAACCCGTCAAGTGGGTGACAAAGTTGATGAGAACCCGTCAAGTGGGTGACAAAGTTGATGAGAACCCGTCAAGTGGGTGACAAAGTTGATGAGAACCCGTCAAGTATATTCATTATCACATTTTTATGTTCTAATAGTGAGCTACTGTAGTAACTTTACAACTGTATTGTCAAGATGGTCCAGCCTTTATCTATAAACAAATAACCCGCACATAAAAGACAGAAGCTTACGACGACGTTTCGGTCCGACTTGGACCGTTCCAGTCACGGTATTGTGCCTTTTTGTTATTTAGCCTTTATCTAATAAGTTTGGAGACAGAATATTTCTTTAAATCCATCGATTTTTTCTTTATTCATTGTACAGTTTCGTCCAAATCTTTACCATAGAACCCGAGAATATGAGAGTGTATGAGGGTAAAGTTTCTTGAAGATCGTTCAATAAATACAAAAAATAAAAAATAAAATTTCAGAATTTATTCATGGCAACCTTTAAGTGGCCTATTTGAAAATTTATACATGGCAACCTTTAAGTCGCCTATTTGAAAATTTATACATGGCAACCTTTAAGTCGCCTATTTGAAAATTTATACATGGAACCTTTAAGTCGCCCATTTGAAAATTTATACATGGCAACCTTTAAGTCGCCTATTTGAAAATTTATACATGGCAACCTTTAAGTCGCCTATTTGAAAATTTATACATGGCAACCTTTAAGTCGCCTATTTGAAAATTTATACATGGCAACCTTTAAGTCGCCTATTTGAAAATTTATACATGGCAACCTTTAAGTCGCCTATTTGAAAATTTATACATGGCAACCTTTAAGTCGCCTATTTGAAAATTATACATGGCAACCTTTAAGTCGCCTATTTGAAAATTTATACATGGCAACCTTCAAGTCGCCTATTTGAAAATTTATACATGGCAACCTTTAAGTCGCCTATTTGAAAATTTATACATGGCAACCTTTAAGTCGCCTATTTGAAAATTTATACATGGCAACCTTTAAGTCGCCTATTTGAAAATTTATACATGGCAACCTTTAAGTCGCCTATTTGAAAATTTATACATGGCAACCTTCAAGTCGCCTATTTGAAATATTGACAATGTCAAAGTTATTCTGGATATTAACAGTGTTACAGCAATGCCATTTATTATCTTCTTTTTTTATTATAAAATAGACAGCGGAACATCACGAATTTTTTAAGATTATTTTGTTCATCAGGAACGTGTCTATTTTATACCTGTGTTGGTATTGTATACCGTGAGTGATACTTCGTAATTCGTGTTACGATTCAATAGATCGAAATAATAGATACTTTTGCAAGGAAAGTTTAAATAATCATTATAAAGCCACAAGACAGCAAAAATAAACTGAATTGTCATTTTCATTCTTCTTAATAAGTAATTTACCAGAGATTAATTAGAAGCCTTTTTCCACAGCATCTCTTCATGGGTATGGCGGACCGTTGACGGTGGAGAATAAACGATGGAAAACCAAACTGCTGGGAGGTTTCTTAAAGGCTGGGAAACAGTTGGGGTACGATATAATAGACCCCAGCAGCCCTGACCAGTTAGGTGAGTAGCCCAGCCTTCATCTTAAAAAGTTGGGGTACGATATAAGAGACCCCAGCAGCCCTGACCAGTTAGGTGAGTAGCCCAACCTTCATCTTAAACAGTTGGGGTACGATATAAGAGACCCCAGCAGCCCTGACCAGTTAGGTGAGTAGCCCAACCTTCATCTAAAAGTTGGGGTACGATATAATAGACCCCAGCAGCCCTGACCAGTTAGGTGAGTAGCCCAACCTTCATCTTAAAAAGTTGGGGTACGATATAATAGACCCCAGCAGCCCTGACCAGTTAGGTGAGTAGCCCAACCTTCATCTTAAACAGTTGGGGTACGATATAATAGACCCCAGCAGCCCTGACCAGTTAGGTGAGTAGCCCAACCTTCATCTTAAAAAGTTGGGGTACGATATAATAGACCCCAGCAGCCCTGACCAGTTAGGTGAGTAGCCCAACCTTCATCTTAAAAAGTTGGGGTACGATATAATAGACCCCAGCAGCCCTGACCAGCTAGGTGAGTAGCCCAGCCTTCATCTTTTGTGTGTGGTTGTAGGGGTCGATTCATAGCTCCTGGCCCTCCTGTGTGTGTATGTATATAATCACCTATATGTGGTTGCAGGTGCCGAGTCACAGCCGCTGGCCGTTACTAGGTCCACCCTGCGCTGGCTCCAAGAGCGTTACCGTACTTCTTCTTAAAGCTATGTATGGATCCTGCCTCTACCATTTAACTTTCCAAATTGTTCCACTTCCTGACAACTCTATGACTGAAGAAATACTTCCTAACATCCCTGTAACTCATCTAAGATTTCAAAACCTCCAGTTGTGATCCCTTGTTGCTTTGTCACGTCTCTGAAACATTCTGTTTCTGTCCAGCCTGTCAATTCCTTTCAGTATTTTATACGTCGTTATCATGTTTCCCCTAGCCCTCCTGTCCTCCAGTGTAGTTAGGTTGATTACCCTTAACCTCTCCTCGCAAGACATGCCCCTTAGCTCCGAAACTAGTCTTGTGCAAATTTTTGCACTTTCTCTAATTTTCTGACGTTCTTGACTAGGTGTGGGTTCCAAACTGGTGCTGCATACTCCAATATGGGCCTGACGTACACGGTCTACAGTGTTGTGAATGACTTCTTACTTAGATGTCGAATCGTTTTTCTTAGGTTTGCCAGACGCCCATATGCTGCAGCAGTTATTAGGTTAATGATCTCCTCGGTATATGTGCTCTGTATGATACTCCCAACAAGATCCTTTTCCTTGGGTGAGGTTTTGCCGCCTTGGATCCCCGAGGATGTATTCCGTCTGCAGTCTTCTTTGTCTTTCCCAAAGCATCATAACTTTGCTCTTTGTGGGATTAAACTCCAGGAGCCATTTCTTGGACCAGGTTTGCATCCTGTCCAGATCCCTTTGCAGTCTTTCCTGATTTTCATTCGTTTGTATTCTCTCCTCATTAGTTTCTCGTCGTCTGCAGACAGGAACACCTTTAATACTCCTTGTGTCATGTTATTTACTTATACAAGAAACAACGCTGGCTCTAGGACTGACCCTTGTAGAACCCCACTTCACACACTTGTATTGACCTATATGGACTCACCTACATATGGTTGCAGGGGTCGATTCACAGCTCCTGGCCCCGCCTCTTCACTGATCTCTAGTAGGTCCATTCCCGGTTCGTAGTGCCTTATCGTACTTCTTAAAGCTATGTATGGATCCCGCCTCTACTACTTCCCTTTCCAGATTGTGCCATTTCCTGACAACCCTAAGGCTAAAGAAATACTTTCTAAGACCGTTATGATTCATCTGAATTTTCAGCTTCCAGTTGAGCGCTCTTGTTCCTGTATCCCATCTCTTAAAAAACTCTGTCCCTGTTCACCCTGTAAATTATCGTATCTATTCTACCTATCCCTCATCCGGTCGTCCGGTGTCATCGGGTTGAGTTCCTGTGAGTGTGTACTCACCTAATTGTACTCACCTAATTGTGGTTGCAGGGGTCGAAACTCAGCTCCTGGCCCCGCCTCTTCACTGATCGCTACTGGGTCCTCTCTCTCTGCTTCCTGAGCTTTGTCATACTTCTTCTTAAAACTATGTATGGTTCCTGCCTCCACTACTTCACTTGCTAGGCTATTTCACTTGCTGACAACTCTATGACTGAAGAAATACTTCCTAACGTCCCTGTGACTCTTCTGAGTCTTCAGCTTCCAGTTGTGACCCCTTGTCCCTGTGTCCCCTCTCTGGAACATCCTATCTCTGTCCACCTTGTCTATTCCCTGCAGTATCTTGTATGTCGTTATCATGTCTCCCCTGACCCTTCTGTCCTCCAGTGTCGTCAGTCCGATTTCCCTTAACCTTTCCTCGTACGACATTCCCTTGAGCTCTGGGACTAGCCTTGTTGCAAACATTTGTACTTTCTCTAACTTCTTGACGTGCTTGACCAGGTGTGGGTTCCAGACTGGTGCTGCATACTCCAGTATGGGCCTAACATACACAGTGTACAGTGTCTTGAACGATTCCTTATTAAGGTATCGGAACGCTATTCTCAGGTTTGCCAGGCGCCCGTATGCTGCAGCATTATTTGGTTGATGTGTGCCTCCAGTGATGTGCTCGGTGTTATGGTCACCCCAAGGTCTTTCTCCCTCAGTGAGGTCTGTAGTCTTTGTCCACCTAGCCTATACTCTGTCTGCGTCTTCTTTGCCCCTCCCCAATCTTCATGACTTTGCATTTGGCTGGATGAATTCGAGAAGCCAGTTACTGGACCCACATGTCCAGCCTGTCCAGGTCTCTTTGCAGTCCTGCCTCATCCTCGTCCGATTTAATTCTTCTCATCAACTTCACATCATCTGCGAACAGGGACACTTCAGAGTCTATTCCTTCCATCATGTCGTTCACATATATCAAAAATAGCACTGGTCCTAGAACTGACCCCTGTGGGACCCCGCTCGTAACAGGCGCCCACTGTGATACCTCTTCACGTACCATGACTCGTTGCTGCCTCCCTGTCAGGTATTCCCTTATCCATTGCAGTGCCCTCCCTTTTACATGCGCCTGATCCTCCAGCTTCTGCACTAATCTCTTGTGGGAACTGTGTCAAAGGCCTTCCTGCAGTCTAGGAAAACGCAATCTACCCACCCCTCTCTCTCGTGTCTTACTTCTGTTACCTTGTCATAAAACTCCAGGAGGTTTGTGATACAAGATTTGCCTTCCATGAACCCATGCTGGTTTTCATTTATAATCTTGTTCCTTTCCAGGTGTTCGACCACTCTCCTCCTGATAATCTTCTCCATGACTTTGCACACAATACATGTCAGAGACACAGGTCTGTAGTTTAGTGCTTCGTTTCTGTTTCCTTTCTTAAATATGGGGACTACATTAGCTGTCTTCCATTTCTCAGGTAGTTGCCCAGTTTCAAGGGATGTGTTGAAGATTGTGGTTAGAGGCATGCACAGCATCTCTGCTCCTTCTCTAAGGACCCATGGGGAGATGTTGTCCGGTCCCATCGCCTTTGAGGTGTCAAGGTCACTTAAGAGCTTCTTCACCTCCTCCTCAGTGTTCGTATGTCATCCAACACTTGTTGGTATATTCCCTCTTGATGTTCCCTTCTGTGCTGTCTTCCCACAGCCCTTCCTGTCTCTACTGTGAAAACTTCCTTAAATCTCCTGTTCAACTCCTCACATACCTCCTGATCATTTCTTGTGAGTTCTCCACCTTCTGTCCTTAATCTGATCACCTGGTCTTTGACTGTTGTCTTCCTCCCTGATGTGGCTATACAACAGTTTCGGGTCAGTCTTGATTCTCGATGCTGTCATTTTCATACTGTCGCTGGGCCTCCCTCTTTACCTGTGCATACTCATTCCTGGCTCTGCGACTGATCTCCCTATTTTCGTGTGTTCTCTGCTTTCTGTATTTTTTCCATTCTCTATTGCACTTTGTTTTTGCCTCCTTACACCGTCGGGTAAACCAGGGGCTCGTTCTGGTCTTCCCGTTGTTACTGTTGCCCTTGGGAATAAACTTTTCCACTGCCTCCTTGCATTTTGTTGTTACATATTCCATCATTTCATTTACTGGTTTTCCTGCCAGTTCTCTGTCCCACTGGGTCACACTTCCGCTCCATGAGCTTTTCTAAGAGCTATGAATGGATCCTGCCTCCAATACATCGCTTCCCAAATTATTCCACTTCCTGACTACTCTGTGGCTGATGAAATACTTCCTAACATCCCTGTGGTTCATCTGAGTCTTAAACTTCTAACTGTGATCTCTTGTTGCTGTGTCCCATCTCTGAAACATTCTGTTTCTGTCCACCTTGTCAATTTCTCTTAGTATTTTGTATGTCGTTATCATGTCCCCCCTATCTCTCCTGTCCTCCAGTGTTGTCAGGTCGATTTCCCTTAACCTTTCCTTGTAGGACATACCCTTTAGCTCCGGGACTAGTCTTGTTGCAAACCTTTGCAATTTCTCTAATTTCTTTACGTGCTTGGCTAGGGGTGGGGTCTAAACTGGTGCTGCACACTCAAATATGGGCTTAACGTACACAGTGTACTGGGTTCTGAACGATTCCTTATTAAGATATCGGAATGCTGTTCTTAGGTTTGCTAGGCGCCCGTATGCTGCAGCAGTTATTTGATTGATGTGCGCCTCAGGAGATATGCTTGGTGTTATACTCACCCCAAGATCTTTTTCCTTTAGTGAGGTTTGTAGTCTCTGGCACCCTAGACTGTACTCCGTCTGCGGTCTTCTTTGGCCTTTCCAATCTTCATGACTTTGCACTTGGTGGGGCTGAACTCCTGGATCCAGTTGCTGGACGAGGCCTGCAGCCTGTCCAAATCCCTTTGTAGTTCTGTCTGGTCCTCGTCCGATTGAATTCTTTTCATCAACTTCACATCACCTGCAAACAGGGACACTTCGGAGTCCACTCCTTCCATCATGTCGTTCACAAATACCAGAAACAGCACCCCTGTGGAACTCCACTCGTCACAGGCGAGTGTTGCACCACTCTTCTGATAATCTTCTCATGACTTTGCATACTATACATGTCAGTGCTACTGGTCTGTAGTTTAATGCTTCATATCTGTCTCCTTTTTTTGATAATTGAGACTACATTTCGTGTCTTCCATACCTCAGGTAGCCGCCCTGTTTCGATAGACGTGTTGAATATTGTTGTTAGGGGTACACAAAGCGCCTCTGCTCCCTCTCTCAAGACCCATGGAGAGATGCTATCCGCCCCATCGCCTTTGGGGTATCTAATTCACTCAGCAGCCTCTTCACTTCTTCCTCAGTTCTATGTATTGTGTCCAACACTTGGTGGTGTACCCCAACCCTCCGTCTTTCTGGAGTCCCTTCTGTCTCCTTTGTAAACACTTCTTTGAATCTCATGTTGAGTTTCTCACAAACATCGCAGTCCCTTTTTGTGATCTCTCCTCCTTCCTTCCTTAGCCTGATTACCTAGTCCTTGACTGTTGTTTCCCTCCTGATGTGGCTGTATAAGAGCTTCGGGTCAGATCTCACTTTCGCTGCTATATTATTTTCATACTGTCGTTGGGCCTCACTTCTTACCTGTGCATATTCATTTCAGGCTCTACGACTTCTCGCCTGGTTCTCCTGGGTCCTTTGCCTTCAATACGTCTTCCACTCTCTAGCACACTTGGGTAAACCAAGGGCTCATCCTGGCTTTCTCGTTATTTCTGTTTCCCTTGGGTACAAACTTCTCAGCTTCCATCATATTGTTGTCACATATCTCATCATCTCGTTTACTTACTTCCCTGCCAGTTCTCTGTCCCACTGAACTCCTTGTAGGAAATTCTTCATGCCTGTGTTGTCCCCTCTCTTGTAGTTTGGCTTCACTCGTCCTGCTTCCCTCTCCACTTGTAACTCTACTATGCATTCAAAGCTCAGGCTCACATTGTCACTGGCCCCGAGGGGGCTCTCATATGTGATGTCCTCAATGTCTGCACTACTCAAGGTGAATACTAGGTCCAGTCTTGATGGTTCATTCTCTCCTCTCTCTCTGACAGTGTCCCTTACATGCTGGTACATGAGGTTTTCCAGTACCACCTCCATCATCTTAGCTCTCCACGTTTCGTGGCCCCCATGTGGCTTCAGGTTCTCCCAGTCGATTTCCTTGTGGTTGAAGTAACCCATGATCAGTAGCTTTGTCCTGCTCGCATGAGCCCTTCTGGCCACCTCAGCTAGTATGTCAACCATCGCTCTTATACTCTCATCATACCTTGGCCTCCTACTGTTCTGTTTTGGGTTATATATCACTGCATTTACCACCTTGGGACCTCCAGACTGAAGTGTTCCTATTATGTAGTCTCTTGCTTCTCCTCTGTTTCCTCTCTCCAGCTCATCAAAATCCCATCGGTTTTTGATGAGCAGTGCCACTCCTCTACCCCCTCAGTTCCCTCCGTCTTTTCTCAGGATCTGATATCCTGTTGGAAAGATGGCATCTGTGAGAGCTATGATGTCCAGTGATGCCTCTTTGACTCTTTCGTGCCACTCCTCCCACTTATTCGTAATTCCATTAGCGTTGGTGTACCATACCTTCAGTTTCCTCTCCAAGACTGTGTTCTGGGGGAGGGGCTGTGAGGGTGGGGGACATGGCGGTGTGTGTGTGTGTGTGTGTGTGTATGATGCAGAGAGAGAGAGAGAGAGTGAGAGAGAGAGAGAGAGAGAGAGCGAGAGAGAGAGAGAGAGGAGAGAGAGAGAGAGAGAGAGAGAGAGAGAGAGAGAGAGAGAGAGAGAGAGTGAGAGAGAGAGAGAGAGAGAGAGAGAGAGAGAGAGAGAGAGAGAGAGAGAGAAGAGAGAGAGAGAGAGAGAGAGACAGACAGACAGACAGACAGATAGACAGACAGACAGAGACAGATAGACAGACAGACAGACAGACAGACAGACAGACAGACAGACAGAGAGGCAGACAGACAGACAGACAGAGACAGAGAGAGAGAAAAGACTTAAAATTCTCGTGTTGTGTCCAGGCTTCAGTGTTTAGTTAAGTTAACTTGTCAGTTGTCTTGTAAAGACGTCAGTGTTTTATAACGGTGATGTTGAAGGTCGTCCTAACAACCTACACTCAACGTCAGTGTTTTATAACGGTGATGTTGAAGGTCGTCCTAACAACCTACACTCAACGTCAGTGTTTTATAACGGTGATGTTGAAGGTCGTCCTAACAACCTACACTCAACGTCAGTGTTTTATAACGGTGATGTTGAAGGTCGTCCTAACAACCTACACTCAACGTCAGTGTTTTATGACGGTGATGTTGAAGGTCGTCCTAACAACCTACACTCAACGTCAGTGTTTTATACGGTGATGTTGAAGGTCGTCCTAACAACCTACACTCAACGTCAGTGTTTTATAACGGTGATGTTGAAGGTCGTCCTAACAACCTACACTCAACGTCAGTGTTTTATAACGGTGATGTTGAAGGTCGTCCTAACAACCTACACTCAACGTCAGTGTTTTATAACGGTGATGTTGAAGGTCGTCCTAACAACCTACACTCAACGTCAGTGTTTTATAACGGTGATGTTGAAGGTCGTCCTAACAACCTACACTCAACGTCAGTGTTTTATAACGGTGATGTTGAAGGTCGTCCTAACAACCTACACTCAACGTCAGTGTTTTATAACGGTGATGTTGAAGGTCGTCCTAACAACCTACACTCAACGTCAGTGTTTATGACGGTGATGTTGAAGGTCGTCCTAACAACCTACAGTCAACGTCAGTGTTTTATAATGGTGATGTTGAAGGTCGTCCTAACAACCTACACTCAACTAACAACCTACACTCAACTAACAACCTACACTCAACTAACAACCTACACTCATCTAACAACCTACACTCAACTAGCAACCTACACTCAACTAACAACCTACACTCAATTAACAACCTACACTCAACTAACAACCTACACTCAACTAACAACCTACACTCAACTAACAACCTACACTCAATTAACAACCTACACTCAACTAACAACCTACACTCAACTAACAACCTACACTCAACTAACAACCTACACTCAACTAACAACCTACACTCAATTAACAACCTACACTCAACTAACAACCTACACTCAACTAACAACCTACACTCAACTAACAACCTACACTCAACTAACAACCTACACTCAACTAACAACCTACACTCAACTAACATTTATGTCTTCATGTTCTCCCTTTTAATGTTATTAAGAATCTTGATACATTTTTGTAATTTTTGTTGTCTTATTTGTAACTATCAAAATTTGAAATTTACATTGTTTTAAATACAGTTTTCAGCTAAAATATCTACATTATCATACTTCTATTCGAAAATAATGCTAATTTGTGATTTTTCGGACAATTTCCTGTTTACCACTAAATTTAAAAATTTTTGCTAAAAATTCATTATTTTAATCAGAATGGTAAATCTCTGGTGGTTTTTGTGTTCTCCATCACCACTTGTAATGTCTTGCCTCTTTCTTTATTACTTGCTTTATTTAGATTTAAGAGCTCTTCCCTGTATTTCTATCTACTCTCCTATAATCTTTTATTTTTTGTTCTTTTGTCTCTAATCTCACTTTCATCCATGTAAACCAGAAAGTGAAAAAATTAGTGCCCTGTGGTTATGTTCCTCCAACTGCTTCCATGAATTTTTTTTTCTTCTTCCACCAAAGTTAATCTTACTGGTTCGTTCTCTCTTTGTGTTGTCCTTATACCTGCTGCTTCGTTAAGTTTCTAATTATTTTCTCAGTAGCATTTTTTTTCTACATTATTTGGGTCCGTAACTCTGGGTCTCCCTGTCAGTTTCCGTTTATTTAAAATCTTCCGTGAATAGTAGCTATGACTTTATGTCGGGTTTTGTGTTTTAGCCTTTGTTCCGTCTGTTTCTTGTGTTGTTTTAAGGAGTAAATATTCCTGTTTAACTTCTCTTGTGATCGACGGAGAATTTAAATTGCTGCAATTATCACTTAAGTTCTTGTCTGTAATGTCCCTCATTTGAAGTCTGAAGTCTCTTTTAAGAGACTGGCTATATCTTCAAATTTTCATATCTTTAATCAGTGTTGCTCCCCCTTCCCACACTCTATTCTATCTCCTTATTATCTCATATCCTTGGAAAAATCACATTTGTGATTATTCTTATTAATTTCGTACAACGGCTATTTTCATACTATGGGTATAGATATTTTTATAATTTACCTGCATGCGATTGTTAGCAATATTTTAATGTTCCACACAATTCTTCCTTCGTGTCTCTCTCTTCGGCTCATCTTTTATCTTTTTGTTGCGGGGGAAGAAGAAGAGTGTTAATCCTTAGGTGAGGGTTGAGAGATCTGGAGCTTGAACTCATGGGAGCGCTTCCTTCCAATGTGAAATAGGCAAGGAAATGCATAAGTAATAGTGTGGGTTCGACACGATGATACACAGAGATAGTTACATAGAGCCTCTGCTGAAGACGTCTCCCAAGAAATGGTTTTTTAAAGTGTTTAAATAGAAATTCCATTAAACTGTACTTGTGTCTATTTACCATTGGGCTGTTTGATCTCTGGTATTAAATGGTTTAAGAGGAGACAGGAGCGAGGATGTGTCGTTAGTTCACTTGGTTGTAGGAAGTGTTGGAGTGTGGTTAGAGGGTACATGAAGACGTATGATGAGGGTAGGCAAGGGGAGAGTAATTATTATTATTATATTCATGAGAAGCGCTAAACCGTAGGAGTTATACAGCGACTGGGGAATGGAAAGTATTCGGGTTTTATTCGCGAGAGAAGATAAATCCAATTCCTTGGACAAGAACTTTTCACCGGCATCGAGGTCCTCCATTTAAGGGAGGAAGAAGGACAAGGATTAAAAAGTAAGTTGAAGGATTTCCTGGGTGGAATGTAGCTTAACTGGAAGCCAAAAACAAAGTAGGATTACTTTCATTACTTCTACAACTATCATATTAACTGCATCCTGTTTTGCAGGATTCTTTGAGGTAGAACTGACAACGAGAAACGGCATACGATGGTCCACCGCTGAGGCCTACATCAAACCTTCAGTCTTCAGACCCAACCTAGACGTTGTGCTCAACGCACAAGTCACTCAGGTGAGTTCATCGTGAAGGCACTCAGGTTAGCTCAACGCACGTCACTAAGCTGAGCTCGTTGTTATGACATTCTGGTGATTTTTAGGGTGCATGTCATTTAGGTAAGCTTATCATCAGATCACAGAAGTGAACTCATCATCCTTACCTACTTGTGTGTGCAGAACTTGATTTCGAAACGGGAATAGTGTTGATGTTAAAGTGTATGTGGAGGGCATAGTCAACAAGCATAGATTAATAAGGTAGCGCACTCAGCTCACACATTGAAGTTTAGGGATCGATCCCGGCACGGGCGAAACGTTGGTCATGTTTCCTCGCACCAGTTGTCACTGTACACCTAGAAGCAAGTAGGTACCTGGGTGTTAGACACCGGTGTGGGTCACATCCTGGGAGATAACATTAACCTAAGTTGCCAGAAATGTTCTGCATTGTATATCCTGTTGGGGTTTATATTTCGCGTCAGGCCACTTTGTATTTCGTGTCACGCTTGTGCTGCCATCTAACGGGAATAGGCCTACCCTCAGCTCACCCTTCAACTCCCTGCATCTCTCTCATTCTCCCTGCTGTCAACCTAGAGACAACAGGTCTTCTCTCTCACTCGCGGGCTGGGGGCCCCTGGCTGGCTCCAAGAGTACACCGTTGAACACACCATCTGTATTCAAGAACACCAACGAACTATGCTATGGGTCTTGACAGATACTGCAGCACATCAGGTGACATCACTGTGGTTGAGCTATGACGTATCAGGGTACGCTCTCATCATGGAGTAGTCACTGCAGGGTTCACCCAACTTGGGGCACAACCTGCTGGTGCCCTCGAGTGAGGCACCGGCAGAACTCGGCATCTTGGCAAGATTTCTTCTGGTGTAAGACTCAGGAGGACACTTCTCAACTGGCACTGTTGCAGGGGCAGTTATTGCTAGGAACTGTGCACAGCTTAGTGGTGCCAGATAGAGTGAGTTGTAGCATGGATGACTCAGGTGTAATGGGAGTCGTAGCAGGGATGACTTAGGCATGTGCGTGTTTACGGGATTATTGGTCGTTCTTGCAGAGCGGGGTTCAATGATAAGGCTTCGGACGCTTCTTACTTTATTTGCGAGATAGTGGGGTACACAGGCAGTGTGTTAAGTACCTATGGCCTGAAAGGGCCATGCCCGCGAGGGAGAGAGGACTAGACCTGTTGTCTGAGTGAAGGCCACTGAAAGAGTGAGGCAGAGGCAGGGTGGGCAGGCTGGCATGCCCACTTAGAGGCCTGGCCTCTGGTGGAAACTATGGGAATTAGGCATGTAGGCTCACTGGTTACATTTTGCTTGGCCACCTACCACATGGTCGATCCTGACCATGACTGGCTGTAAAAGAAAACTAGGTCTCTCTCTGGATGGAACAGGGCACAGAACACAAAATAAAAACATATACATATATACATACATGGACATGGAAAAAAAAATTCCTACAGGGAGGGAAGAAAAAAACAGGTGGGGTGTGCTAAATATCATGGTCATAGGCAGTGAGTATAGATGGGCATCATTGCACGCCTTCCCACGTCTTAACAGATACTACAACACAGTAGACATCGCTGTGGCTGAGCTGTGACGTAACAGGGCATGGCCTCCAGTGGAACGGTGAAGCAGTCATTGTAGGAGTTGCTGCAGGGTTTCACTCAACCTGGGGCACAGCCTGCTGGTGCCCTTGAGTGAGGCATCGGCAGTACTCGGCAACTGGGCAGGACTTCTTCTGGCAAGCAACTCAGGAGGACATTTCTCGACTGGTACTGTCGCTGGGGCTGTCACTGCCGGCGAGCGTGGAGTGAGTCGTGACAGAGACAACTCGGCGAAACATCTGGGAGTCGTAACATCATACACCATACTGGAGTGAGCGGGCTAGGAGTCACAGTGACATCATCTTTGTGCAGGCTGCTCACTGAAGCTTGTGACACGAGGCTGACACAGCGGCTGACGACAGGGCTTAACTCTGGCTTGACGACTGTCATTCTCTCGGCAGTTGGAGTTATAGCAGAGGTTATTCTAAGCGTCCCCAGACTTGTTTCTCTACATATAACTGCACTCTGACAGTCTGGAGGTGAAGTGAAACATATCTCGATGGGAATCGTAGCAGGTACGATTCTGCAGGGCATCACGAGCGGAGAACAATAAGAGCTTTCTGTACAAGAGGCTTAGATGCTCGGGCTGACTAATATCAGCTGTCAAACGCAGGTCACACCAGGTGACAAGTAACACAGTGGTGCTACACAGTGGTCTGGGCTCAAGACCACACAGGATACCACGAAAACTGCCCACACCCGCACTGCATATGCGGTACTACAGGGCTTACTAGCAAATGATGCTTTTCTGTGCAAAAATTGACACTAAGCTATACACAAACATGTGAGAACACTGACTGAGAGGAATTGATTAACACATAACATATATCTTCTCTCAATCTTCTCGACAATACTGAAATAATTACTAGAACACTCGATGTGATATCATGTGATGTCAAGCGTGACGTCGCGAGGTGACGTCAGCAGTATGGTGACGTCCACAGACGTCTCGAGGTGGCGTCAGGCAGACATCGTGACGTCATGAAGTCGGGCAGCATCGTCGGTGACGTCAATGTGATGTGGGCAGCAGACCACAGCATGTGGCCTGGGACATCTGGCTTGGTAACTCACATGGCTTGTGGATCCACGTGATATCGTCGACACTCCACGTGGAGCAAGCCACTTGGCTTGCTGATCTACATGGCTTGGTGATCCACGTGGCATGCTGATCCACATGACATGGTGATCCACGTAGCTTCGAGTGGCCTTGGGCACTCGGATACACAGCTCTGGCAATGAATTCACATGGAAAACAGCAGAAAACACAGCAGAGGGAGTGAGTACATGTGGGTGACATAGCAAGGACGAGTCTGACGTGATGTCTACAAGAGTGGCAAGCATAATTAGGTACTCTCTATACAGGGTGTTCAGATGACTCACGTATCTGATGCCTGGACTAACTAGTGTCAGTTTACAAACGGCCACATCGGGATGACACGTGACACGAGGATGTTACAATGATCTTGGCTCAGTCCACACTGTGGTCTACACATTGATCTGGGCACAGCCCACTTCAACAGAATAGTACATGGCTTGCACTAGCAAATGATGCTTTTCTGTGCCAAAAAATCGATACTAAAGCATTCACGAAGATGTGAGAATACTGGTAATGAAATACTGACCGAGAGAAATTAACATGAGACATACAATACTGAACACTTCTAATATTTCTTCTCTCAGTCGAGTGTGGTGGTAGGCTGGTGAGGTGTGAGTAGGGCGAGGTGGGCAAGGCGAGGAACGGCCACTTCCTCCTCCCCCACCCACAACATGGCGAGATACTCCACACTGAACACAGGAATCACCACAAACTCACCTCTGACTTGCTGAAACAGCTGTGTTAAGTTGAACAATAACGCAGAACATACAAGTGACACTGAACACGTGACTTGAGAAACAGGGTGGGACGCTGTGGCGTGGAGTCACAGCGTCCCAGCGTCTCCACAGCGTCTCGAAGAAATTCGGTAAATTTCGGTCAAATCCTGCTTGTACCTGTGTTTGGATACTGAAACATGCAGACACGACATCAGGATAACTCGTTGAGAGACGGATGCTTCTTGTATGGGGTGATGAAGTGAAGATGACTTCATCCCTCTGCCTTCCTCTCCCCGGGCAAATACACTTGCTGCGACTACGGCTGTCCACCAATGTTTTTTACGTTTTTTTGGTGATTCTGCAGAGCGGGGTTCAATGATAAGGCTTCGGAGGCTTCTTACTTTATTTGCGAGACAGTGGGGTACACAGGCAGTGTGTTAAGTGCCCATGGCCTGGGAAGGCCATGCCCACGAGGGAGAGAGGACTAGACCTGTTGTGTGAGTGAAGGCCGCTGAGAGAGTGAGGCAGAGGCAGGGGTGGGCAGGCTGGCATGCCCACTTAGAGGCCTGACCTCTGGTGGAAACTATGGGAATTAGGCATGTAGGCTCACTGGCTACATGTGGGTGACATAGCAAGGACGAGTCTGACGTGATGTCTACAAGAGTGGCAAGCATAATTAGGTACTCTCTATACAGGGTGTTCAGATGACTCACGTATCTGATGCCTGGACTAACTAGTGTCAGTTTACAAACGGCCACATCGGGATGACACGTGACACGAGGATGTTACAATGATCTTGGCTCAGTCCACACTGTGGTCTACACATTGATCTGGGCACAGCCCACTTCAACAGAATAGTACATGGCTTGCACTAGCAAATGATGCTTTTCTGTGCCAAAAAATCGATACTAAAGCATTCACGAAGATGTGAGAATACTGGTAATGAAATACTGACCGAGAGAAATTAACATGAGACATACAATACTGAACACTTCTAATATTTCTTCTCTCAGTCATTCCAGACATTACTGAAATCACTTAAATTGCTCACTATGACATTGTAGATTTAGACTGTCAATGTGACATCATGGGATATTGTTAGGCGTGACTTTGTGAAGTGATGTCATTATGTGACATCACGAGGTGACATCATGCTGGGTTACGTCTTGGGGTGACGTCGCAAGATGACGTCCTGTGTGGCGTCAGGAAACATCCTGGATGACATCACGAGGTAATGTCGGGCAGATGTCCTGGGTGACGCCAGGTAACGTCCTGGATGACGTCGCGAGGTGACTCCTGGAATGACGTCGGGCAGCTGTTGTCAGGTGACGTCGCAATGTGACGTTGGGCAACGTCCCGGGGAGACGTCGCACGGTGACGTCGAGCAAAAGTCCTGGGTGATGTCAGGCAATGTCCTGATGACGTCGCGAGATGATGTTGTGCAGACGTTCTGGGTGACGTCAGGGAGCATGGTGACGCCTTGGGTGGCGTCATGCAGTGACATCAGGCAACGTCCTCGGTGAAGTAGGGTAGCATAATGACGTTGTGGGGTGACAATTGCAGCAGACAACAGCATGTGGAAGGGACAACTG